CATAGTGGTTGGTCTATAAAGGAACGTTGTTATAGTTGTGTATGTGTCTGCCCGCCAATCAGTTGTCGCAATACAAGCATAGAGAGACATCGTCATTTCAATATAAAATTCCACTACTCTTAAAGCCTAAAAGCGCCAATCATCGTTTTTTACACATATAAACTTGCACCTTATGCTTAGTGATTACCGCCGCCCAAGAGGGGTGCTCTTGGGCCATACTAAAAATCAAAATTTTTTATTCATGTAGGTCTATTACAGACTCTTATGATATGTCAAATCTGCTGTCAGTTCGATGTAATTTGCACCAGGGCAAGGTATAAGCTCGTGAAGGTTTCAATATCATATCGGTTCGGAAATACTATTACTGGGAGGTGATCATTATGATTATGATACCATTGTGATTCCACAATGTGGTTTTGCGTGGCAAAATGTTTCTGGAAAAACGCATGGTAGAGGACTGCCATTCACGGTGATGGTCAGGTCAGGTCCAGGTAGTCAGGATAGTATTATCTAATATATAAAAATCTCGTGACACACTTTTGTTATTGTACTTCTCCAAAATTAATTAATATATTTTTATCTTATTATCTACATATGTATACTTTGGACACATATATTTGGGAAATAAAATAACATTATGTTCGTCAATTTTTTCATTTTCGTTCATCTACACTACCTACGAAATAAATTCTACTTCTACGACGTTAACATTTGGTACACATATAAACCAATATACTATGTTTTTTTCTTCTGGTTTTGACCCTCCACAAAAGAGGGTTGTTATAGGGTTAACGCTTTGGATGTCCAAATTTCAGTGAGTTTTTTTTTATTTGAAAGCTTTCGTAATTGAGATGCTTCTTAACTATAATATATAAATGTTCAAACGTTTAAAAACTATTAACACATTTTCTAGTTGACGAAGAAACTTCACAAACTTTTACGTCGGGGATTTTAAAAGTTTAATTCTTCATTTGAAAGAAAATGTCTTTAATAGTTAAAATAGGTTTGTAAGAAGTTTTATTTTTTATTAATATAAAGTAAGAATTTCGGTTAAATTATATTATCTTTGCTCCAGTTTTGACTCTCTTTGATATTTAATTTATTGAAGAATTCATGTAGAATATAGTCGTAAATTAATTTTTTTCAAGATATTACTACCGGTACTGTCTCTTGAGACTACTGGTCTTATTTGTTTTGCCTTGGTCCAATTCCAGGCTCATTGTGTTTCGTGACTATTACTGAATTTTGTACAATGTTTACTGGCTGTAATTTGTTACAGTTACATTTCATTTTCTTGGCATACAACCGACAGTTCTGTAACATTTTTGTGAAGTGGTAAATATAAAAGATTCTGAAATAAAAACTATTGCGTTTTGGACTTTTTGGACGATTATCAGCAAATAGCAAGATGAATCTTGTTTTAAACGTCTATAAAGGAATGTGGATTCTCTACAGATTATAATGATAACTTGTCATTAGATACCAATTGAAAAGAGTGCTCCTTTTTGATACAATATTATGATAATACAAATTCTCTTAATCAGCTAATTAACTAGTATATAATTACAATAATTGTTTAAAACTATTATAGTTCTTACAACAGGACAAATTAGAGGAGAAAAGTAGTTTATATTCTCTCTCCTACCTGTATGCCAAATATCATGACACGCAATAAACAAACAAAGTCTTTTAGATTAGGCTTACAATATGGTTCGCGGTTCCTGTCGACGGAAACAAATTTTAATCATGAACGTCAGCATCATAAAAATCTCTTTACTGTTCCTTTAAATCGAACTAATGCATTTCTCAGATTAAAGGTGTAAGATAAAAAGAAAATGAACGTAAAACCTCGTATCACCTCGTGTAACCTTAGCTTAAATCTGTGCATTTTAAGCTTGAAAAATAAAGTCTGACTATGACGATGTATTCAAAGTGACTTTATCTACATATATAACACACATATAATTTTGATATTCCTTCTTATGTTCAATACGTTATAGGTACCTTAAAGTTGCTTCCTTGCGATATTAAGAAAATGAAACTGTAAATGTACAAATAAATATGAAATAACGTATTTTTCTTGTGCAAACTGAAGCTGTTGAAATTCACAAGAATTTGAACTCCCAGATGTACCCATCTGAGGAAGAAAAGAATCATCGAAATCGGACCACTTTATAATAAATTATGTATGACATATTATTTTGACGATATCTGTTCACATGGATCGTCAGTGCATAACCTAAATGTGCTAACGTTCCGAGAAGATACGTGGTCTAAGCGTTGAGTAGTCTGCCGTTGGAAGAAAGGGTTTCGTTGTTCCGCTATTCTAAAGAGAGATTTTTACGGTTTCCGGGGGCTGGTGTGGGTAAAAGAGGGAGGGGGGGAGGAAAGCGTATATCCTTATTTGTGTCCGTACGTGACCGCAGACTTGCATGCGATCCAACTAAAAGTTTTAAAAAACTCAAAGACTGTACAAGTAGAAACTTACGCAATATAAATAAGATTTGCAGTGTGAAATTACGTGGAATTAACCATCTACGAAAAAACGTATTGGCAAACGTATTGGCTATAGTTTTTAACTGTTGTCTAACTATTATTTACCTATTTTCTATGTATTGTAAAGATGATTGTAAGCAGTAACCGTTGCCTACTTACATGAATAGCAAAACAGACATCATGTGACTGTTGTGAAACCACTCATGTGTTGTCATCCCAGAGGACTACAATGTCACGCCCCCTTATCCTGTAATTTCACTACTATTGACTAAAACACAGATTACAAACCAAACTTATTCGCAGCTGAAATATGTAGATAAGACAGACGACTTTTTACAAAGTACCTAAATAAAATAACATAATAAAATAAAATAAAATATTATTATTAGATTACCTTCTGAAGTGCCTCTTAAACTGTAATTTAAATAATGGCTGTCATGCCTCTTAATAATTCAAGTACTTATAAATTTATTATCTCATGATAATGATCTAATTTTGTCTTATAACTAGCAATTTTATCGAAGTAGTCCTTCATTAAGGCCACTGCCTTATCTCATCATCACATATATGAGGCATAAGATCTTAGTCTTCTAATGGCAATGCATGAGGCATACCACTAGAATCATATGATAACGTGATGCCCGCAGTAAATTTTAGCAGCAGAAGAGAAGAGAGGGGGACGGGTTTGCTATATATTTTATAATTATAAAATATATAAAAAAAGTATAGATCCTGTTGCCTGTAGCATCCATTCAATTTACGTGTACATTAAAAAGATATCAGTGTTCTAGTATGTATTCCTAGCTACTCGCCCCGGCATCATCTCATGTAGGTACTGCATATATAAATCTTCCTTTAGAATCACTCTATCTATTAAAAAAACCGCTACTAAATCGTAGCTTGCGTAGCGTAGTTTTAAGCATACATAGGTACTGACAGACAGCGACAGCGACTTTATCTTATACTATGTAATAATGATGTAGTTCAAGATCGGCTTAGTTTGTGACTAAATGGCGATTGTGCACGTGATCTAATATTGGTATTGACTAACAATTTAAAATGTAATAGAGTATACTGTGTGATGTTTGGATTTATTAACCGATTTTATTAATGATCCCATTACTGTGTTCTAATATTCATCGTCTGCTTCTTCTTCATCCCATTTATTTGGGGTCAACGTACTATGTTGTGCCCTAATATTATAGTCCAAATATGTTGTTAAAATTATGCTAAAGAAACAAATAACTCGAATTATATCACACAGTGACATATAGTTCCGAACTCAGTAGACCGAGTTTTGAAATCCGACTGGTGGATATAGATATTACTATATTCAAACAAACAAACATTCCAGCTTTATAAATTAGTATAGATATATGAATAAATACAAATTAAGGAATAATAAATCAATATTATTTAATAATTTTAGTTTTTATTAAATAAAACTCAACAATAATTTCACAAGTGACATAAAGTTTATAAAGAACAACTTATAATTACTATTAAATGGACCATGCATCATGTTTTAATTATAAATTAACAATAATCAAGACAATCCAATGTTCAATCTACCGCAATAAATAAATTCAATGATCTTACATTATTCCCTATCTTATTTATACACAATATTGTTAATATAAATTAATCTAGCAAATATCTTTAATTACTTTATCTATCATAAATATATAGCTGATTATGTTAGATAATTATAATGATTATGATGATAGAATAGGATGCGTGGAAGAATTCTCAACAATTTACCAAAATAGATCTAAAATAGGACAATATCACTTCATTTAAACATTGTCTCAGAATAGTAGAAAATACAGTAGCAAGCATTATTGAGAGCATAAAGTGAACTCTATTTTTATTTTTAAATAAGCTAAGTTTAATATTTGATAATATTAGACAAAATATTAACTACCACTTTTAGCGGAAAATTCTGATATATTATTACCTCTGAATTAGTAAGCTTATTTTAAGCAGATTTAATTTATTTATTTAATCAAAGAGAGCAAATAACATAGGATAATATTCAGAAAATAATAGGAAGAGATTCATCATGTTTCCCATTTTAAATTACATGCATTAAACATTTAGTGACTACATTTAGCCTTATAAAACATGCATAATATTTTCTATTGTAATTAAGAACAAGTAAGAAGAGTCTTATTAAATTGTTGATTTCGATATTTTTGAAACAGATGATCATACTAATTTTCTATGACATATTAAATACATTTCCAATGAAATACTCGCCTTCTCAAACGCAGTATGCGTCTGGTATCACAAGTAACCACGACTATAGATTGACTGTAAAGTCGTGACTACTAAATTAGTTTGTTCATTTGGCAAAGTTCATAAATATGGCATAAATAAATAGGTACTTAAACTATAAGAGGAACTTGATAAAATAATATATTTTCGTAGTTGATCATTTGGTAACTTACAATTAATAATAATTTGTTTTTGAAAAGATATTTAACTAAACTACGTACCATTAGTAAATAAAACCATAATTCGCTTTTTTTTTACAAAAAATCGCAATGTTTTCTTTACCTACAAATATATTAACAACGGTTAATAATAACGATAAGACATAAAATAGTCTTATAGCAAAATTATGTCAGTAAAAATTAGTATAAAAGTGGAAAAAGAAATGCATGTTTATAAAGATACTACAAAATTAAGACTAGCGACAATTTGTGTCTCAATGACTAGTTTAGCGAACAATTGCATGGTAATATCACATGTGTATTGTACAATAATATCAAAGAAAATGATAATTAAATTCGATAGCGATAGAAAACGGAACATCATTGCACAGATTTATATTATTAGCATCATACGTATAACAAGGTCCGTATAAAACTGTAGAAAAAGAAAATTAATTGCAGAAAAACAATAAAAAAGTTAAAATTAACGTAACTAACTTAAACTAAATTACATACAATTAAAATTTACATACAATACAATCGAACTATTCGTATCCATCGAATTCAGTTTTTTTACAGCCATTACAAGTACGCTGCGTTTAATGATAGCATTATTTTTGGCTTCGAGTCATCTCTTCCAATTCGGTCAAGAATTTTAGGATCGTCACGAAGGTATTCTTATAAAAATAGGCTATCCCCGCTGCTCTCATCAAATTTCTATCTTTAATAAATAACGTTAAGGCTTAAAATTAATTATACGTCTACGCATTTAATCTTCTGTACCAGTTATCCACTGGAGATATTTAAAGGACCTCGACTGGATCGGAGTACCGCGTGCCTCCCCCCACAAGCGAGCTTGTGGAATTGCCGAATGCTCTCTGAAAATAAAGTAATAAACATTGTATTTCGAAATTCAATTAATTATAACCGCAGTGGATTCTATGAATTTTTCTTTATATTATTACGACTCGAAAAATATACCAAAATTATAATTATGTTATGTGTACAATTTATTTTAGCCATAATTATTATTTCTTTGGCTTACAATAATGCTAGACATTGAAAAGTGTAATTAAAATCAATATTGTCATTGAATTATTGAATACTGGCCATACTTAATAATATTTCTAAGTAATACTTCTGAATACTTATATTGTATATATATGAATGCTATAAAGTAATCATGACATGTAATTATAGCTGTGACTACATATATTTTAAAATTATTTTAAACATCCAACTAATGTTGGCAAAGTATAAAACTGAAAACATCATTTCAAAGTATACCTGCTTGACCAGTTAACTTTTCAACAGGCATCATTACGAAATTATCCAAAATTTAATCTTAAGCAGCAATTCATATTGTTTATTTATTAATTAACAATGGCTCGTTATTTCAGTCTATTTAAAGTGTTTAATATAATCAGAATAATCACTGTAGTACATGAATATTTTTTTAGTACTATTATAACAAATAAACCTGCAATTTACATACCTAGGTTCAGCTGAAGCACGAGCATGGGTGTGATAGCCGGGCACGTTGGGATTGTGGTAACTCTTAGCTGATGGCGTCGGCACTAAGGTGTGTGTCTGTACGGGTGGGTGCTCCGCTGGTATTGGCGAGTTATAGATATTTGGATTATATCTGTCTACTGAAACACCTCTTGGTCTTTCAGGAATAGCAGCTTCCACATTAGTTCCATAAGAACTTAAAGGACGGCCTCTTCCTAGAGTATTAGTTTTTGGAAACTCTTGAGATCCAACATATTCAGATTCAAAACTTCTTTCCCGCCATGAACGTGGTCGTAATGTTTGGCTCCATGTTGGCGTAGGTGTATAAGCAGATGGAGTTTTTCCATACTTTGGATCCTCTTCCCACGGAGGCTGTACAGATATCTCGGTGGTCTGTCTATCTTGAACTTGGGTTGTTTTCTCTGTGAATTCTCTTAACTCTTTACGCCATTCGTGTTCTACTGCCTGTGTTGGCTCGTTATTATCATAATAATACTGGGGCGATGGATCTGGTTGAGGTTGGAACTTTGTTTCGCCTGGTATATAAGTAGATTCTGGCACTGTAATATAACGTCTTTCATATTCGCTGTAATATGTCTTTCTTCCAGGAATTTTTGGAGGTTCTGCACCAATATTCACATGTCTCACAAATGACTGATTAGGTGCAGGTGGTATATATGACGTAGGAGCAGTTTTAGCGAATTTATTCGACGGTGCGGGTTGCCAAGCAGGTTTTGCATCAACGGTATATGAATTCGATAGTGGAGGAGGTTGGAAATAATTTTGACTAGATGTATCTGCTACATAGCTTGAATCTTGCTCCCACGGAGGAGGTACATAAGATGATGAGTATTGCTGAGTTGATGTTTGATAATTATCTGAGGAATCCTTGGACAAAAACGAGTACTGATTAGACTGAGTATTAATACTAGGTAAACTATCAACATTACTACTTGCCCAGTTAGTGGGTTTAGGTACATAGTTTTGCTGATACGTATTAGTAGATCTGTCTTGTATAACAGTTTCTGTGTATGAAGGTTGATATTGAGGTTGCGGTTGAGACTGAGGCTGAACCAGTATTTGAGGTTGTGATTGGCCCCACGGTTGGGTATATGGAGCAGCCGGTGTAACATTATTATAGAGCACATTTTCTTTATGGCTTTGTTGATACCATTGTTGGTTTGTTATTTTGCTGGGTTTTACATTGCTAACATTAATAACTTCAGATTGCGGACCTTGAGACAATTGCCTTTGTTGATCATAAGTTTGATTGGAATATTGATAAGCATTTTGGTAAATGTCCGTAGAAGGTATTTGACGTTCTACACTTAGTCTATCCAAAAGCAAACTATGGCGTCTTTCAGATGTAGAATCAGGAACATAAGCAGGTTGATATGGTCTAGCAGGTTGAGGAGAGGTTTCAATTCTTTCTCTGTTAGGTGCAAAGTATGTTTTGACTGTGGGAACACCTTGCTGTGTTAGCAGTTCATAGCTATGATCTAATGTCTTTGTAGTACGATTTACTGTAACAATGTTTTCAATTCTATTATATTCTGTCTGTGTACTTACAGGTCCAATCGGCTGTTGATTAAAACTTTTAATAATTTCAGTATTTTCTGTATGTGATTTTGAAATAACATCGCCAGATGCTCCAATGGGCTTGATTTCAATTTCTTCAACTTTATCAAGAGGAATAGACGGTTCCCGTAGTGGGACTTTTTGTTCTGGTTGATCTGGTTTAGATGTAGGCTGTTCAGGCTGTGGCGATGGTTGCTGTAACTGAGCCGCTAACTGTTCTGGTATTTGTGTCTTTATTTCAGACTTCTCTTCTTTAGGTTCTAATTTTACATCTTCTTTAGAAGTAGTAGTGGTCTCTTTTGGTGGATTTTCTTTAATGACTTCTTCTTTTTCTGATTCATATTCTTCTTCAGTATATTCTGATTCTTCGTTTTCCTCTTTCACTTCCTTAGTTTCCTTAGCAAAGACTTTGTCTTCCACTACTCTCTTTTCCTCAATTTTTTCTTCTTTATCTTCTGCTTCTTCATATTCTTCTTCAACTTCTTCATCCTCTTCTTCTACGTCTGGCTTTTGAGGAGTCTGTTCCTTTTTGACAATTTTGACAGCAACAGTCTCTTCCTCCTCTTCTTCTTGTTCAACAACCTTCGATTCAGATTTATTTTCTACTTTTGATTGTTCAATTATCTCTTCTTCCTCTTCTTCTTCTTCCTGCTCTTCTACGGGTTTCGACGTTGGTGGCTTCTTTATAATTACTGGTTCAGATTCCTCAATTTCTTCCTCTTCTTCTTCTTCTTCCTCTGATTCTTCCTTTTGTACAACTACAACTTTTTTTGTAGTAGTTGTTGAAGTTTCTTCTTTTTTCACAATGGTTTCTTTTTGCCCGTTTTCAACTACTGGTGTCTCCTTTACAACTGTTTTAATTACTTTCTTAGGCTCTTCATTACTTGTTTCTTTGACTTCCTGGACTACCACATTACTTTCTTCTTCTTGATCCTCTTCCACCTCCTCCTCCTCTTCTTCTTCTATTTCATCTTCGGTTTCCTGTTTTGGTATGATTCTTTTTTCGGTTTTTGTTTTAATTTCTGTTTTTCCATCAATGGTCGTTTTCGTTGTAGTTATTTTAACTTCCTCCACAGTACCATCGGGTAAAATTGTTTTATTCACTTCAACTTTTGTTTCAGTCTTAGCTGCCGACTTCTTTGTTGGCAATTTTACAGTCAAATCGGCCTCTATATTTGCGTCACCATTCTGTTCACCATTTTCAACTTTTTGTTCCTTTTTGACTTGCTTCTTAACGACTTTTACTTCTCTCTGAAATAGAAAAAAATAACTAATTTAATAAATAAATATAAAAAAATTTTGTTACTATTTAAATAATAAATTATTGTAAAATTTTAATAGAATTAAGTTTTAATATAAATAGTTTTATGAACTCACTATGTTAAAAATAGTTATTCTATTTATATTTCTTTAATGCTGTATATTAAGTACGTATAGCAGATTATGTAAACAGATATATAAATATACATATAATAAGTATACAGTAATTTTAAGTGAACCTGTTCATCTGAAGATGCCGCTTCATCTTCAACAGGCTTTGATACTAATGACGGAGGTATAGAACTTGTGTCTGTTATAGGCTGAATAATAAAGTCCCCATTAATAATTTCTAATTTTTTATTGGACGTCAAGTCATTGTCTTCTTTGCTCTCTGTATACGAGCTTAGCGGTGTATTACCTATACTATTATTTATTTTTGTCGGAACTTGACAAAATTCAGCTTCATAACTAATTTCGGGTAGCAAAGGCAATGTATATTGATCCGTACCATAACTCAGTCTTCGTGACGTATCGTTATTGCTTGATGGTGTATTATATTCATACATAGTTGCAGGTCTAATTTGATTGGAATTATTTGTTTGTGAATAATAAGGCATACTTGATTCTATCTTTTCTGGTATTATATTTTTTCCATTCTGTGATGGAGTAGGTACTTTCTGTACTATTGGATTTCTAGATTGATCAGGATTACTTCTTGTTCGTAATAAAGACTTTGGATTAGCTGGTAAGTTGATCGTCGGAAAGACTTGAACCGGCAAGCAATTAAAGTTAGGGACAGCTATCGGAGTAGATGGCATTGGTGGTGACTGAAATTGTTGTATCGGTACTTCAGGTACTCCTTGATTCATAGCGTTCCTCATTAATCTTTTAGCCATCCGTTCTGATTTGATTTCGGAAAGATCTAGTCCGCCAGGCGTATAAGTGAATGGTTTACGTTCCCGGCTCATCGCGCCATGCAAAGCTGACGGTGGATTCATTGTGCTGAAATATATTTTCTCACATTATTTATCAAGTTAATTCATGGATAATATTAAAACTATCATAATGCTGGAATCATTGAACGCGATTTGGCATTTTGACAAGCGGTAAAAAATAGATATTATGAGATACTCACGAGGACCGATGTTAACAGCAAACAAAATATATTTACTTCCTGTGTTGCAATAATTTAGAGTTTTCTCGTGTTTATTGGTACACACATATATATTTGTCACTTTAAACGCACTTGTAGATCAATTTTCACATCACTGGTTTCATGTAGAGTGGTTTCACTTTTTTTTGGCGGAACATGCAGATATTAATCTGGACGCAGCGGTTAAATATAGCGCGGTAGTAAATGAGCCGGTACATTTGAATACGGGAGGTGGTGCGCGCGGTCGGCGCGTGCGCCGCCTGCCGCCTACTGCCGTCTACGCCGCTCCGCCATGTATTTTGGTCGCGACCCCAATATCAGCGGGCGCCTAGTCTACGATTTGTCTTGAGCGAATCGTCAAAACAACAGTGTGCACTTCCGACACCTTTGCATTGTCATTTATTAAAATTTTACCCTAAGTTTACCTTCACTTAATCTTTACTTATTAGATTAATGTAACATTATTTATTGTGAATAAATGAAATACCATGTTCAAGTTTATAAAATCTAAAGAAAGTTTTAAAAAGAATTTTTTACATAAATTAAACGTTTTCAATTAATTTTCTTATAAATTTATTTTACTAATCTTGCTAACGTTAATATTTTTTACGCTTTATCTGTTTTCTTAGAAATTGTCATTAAAGTTAAAGACTTAGGGACAGCTTCAGCTAAGAGAGTATATTTTACTCCTGGAAGCAACATACGGCATATATAAACTTTATAATCTTTATAATCTTTTGTAAATCTCTTAAACCGTTATCTTACTATTTTTATTTTGAATGTTTAATTGCTTGAAAATAATAAGATCATCATTTTAAATCATTGTTATTTCTTACAGAAATATTTTTTTAAATTCTCTAATATTACTTGAAAAACTCTTAACTACACCGTCTTCCAATCGGCTATTTCATACATTTGTGCTAAATTTTCTAAATCCAATGTTATTTCTAAATAACGTAACGAAATACTGAAATTTGACTAAACTCTTGTAATGAAACGAGAGTTAAATTCATTCCATTATCAATCTTAATATTCGAATATAAACACCATCTTTTCACTATACGCGGAGTAAACATTGCTTATATCCGGCTTGTATTAATACTTAATTCCATCTTAAGAACCGCATCTCATCCAGTCAGTGCCGAAACAAAATATTTGTTTAAGAGGAGCTTTAACTAGAGATTTACAGTCGACATCGGAGCTCGTCCAAATATCATCCAGCTATTACTGTTGGCTCGACACCAAAACATTCTGATTCGATATTGCTCACATCCACCAAAATGGCTGATATTACGATATGTTACATTACATTCGTACCCACCATTCCTTATTGCGCACATATGCACGTATATAATTTATTGTTTTTGTATGGCGAAATTACTGACGATTTCAGATATCAATAAATTTGTATAGCCAGTGAAATATGTACAAACAGAGTGTAAGTAATAAAGTTTACTCTACAGGTAGCCAAGAAATGTTTTTAAATTGAATATTACAAATTATTTTTAAAAAAAAAATTATTAAAACTTTCACTGTGGCAGAGTTAACTGCATGGGTAACTCTGTCTAAACTAGTTCAAGACAAGCTTGCTTCGTGGTGAATAAGTAAGTGAAAATACAGGGCACAGGCTAAGATGTTATGTCTTAGTACTCCGGAATGACAACTGTAAGTTGTACTGGCATCACATGATAACGTAATGGTGTGGTGTTTTTCATATATATAAAGTATACAGTTAAAGAAAAAAAAATTAAGTGAGCGACAGCACGTCATATTACTTCAAATAATTGAAAAGTTAAAACAGCTAAAAGATTACTTACGCACTGTTACATCTTCACTGAAGATAAGTACCTACTTTTATAAATGTACTACACAGCAAGGAACTCAGCTATATTCCAACACATGACACTCCAATAGATACCTACTTCATGCACTATTCTGTTATATATTTTACGTTTAAGACCTCCAAGGTACACCATGACCCGCGGACCACAGGTTAAGGAAAACAGTTTTTTTTTATGGATGATAATGGAATGGTCCACCCGTCTGCTTAACGGTTTACGCTGGTGACGCACCAGCGAAGGATGATAAGATGAGCATGAGGTTAGGTCAGTTAGCCCATCGTAACCAATTCACCAAGAATTTATCACGATGGTTTCCAGGGGAAACCGCGTGGACGTTAACCTGACTGTACCATACATTGATAGTAATAAGATCATCAGTCCACATTACTAACAATCCTCTTTCACCCCAAGAATAACCGTTCGATTCCTCGCACAATGCACACATTTGTATTAATGAGTATGATTATATTGTTCTGGGTATTTTCTATCTATATTCTGTAGGTATTTACAAAAAATGTATTTGAGTATTTATATCACTTCTCTTGTAGTGAAAGCTCTGCTTAGCTTGAGACTATATGGCGCTGTGTTTTTACAGGATTGCCCAGTATTATTACTATCACAGATAACATAGTATTACATATTATTATTATGAATATCAACTCGATATCTTATTTTCTCAAAGGAAAATTTCTTTCAAACTTGAGAAAAAGGTACAAACAAGAGATCCCAATATACTTCCGATTTTCATTTCATTCTGGTCCTACATCCTCACTAAACCGGCGACTTAGTTGTAAGTATCTATATATCGGAATCTTTAAAACCCTATATACAGCGGGAATGTTATTAGAGTTGATTACTTTGGAATCTATTTATCCTCTCACTCCGTGTTAAGACATCCGCTGTAGGAATTACTTTAATCCAAGTCTTTTATGAAAAATATAATCATGATAATTTTTCAAAGATATTTTCCCATAGATATGATATGTCACAGAAACAAATTTCTAAGTAATCTCGTATCATCTGTCATTTTGATGAATCTTTCCAGTAAAATTTATTTACTAATATAATTTATACCTGTCGCAATATAATGATTATTAACATTTATGAAAAGCCCCTGTAGACATTATTTTTGGTAATAGAATGTTGCATGTTTTGTTAGATTTTTTTCCCTCCGTTGCAACCCAATATCTTCTCAAGTACATAAATTAGTTAAGACAGTCGGTAGTATTAAAACAAGATAAAGGCAAGATGAAAGAATTGATGCATGAAAATTCATTTTATACAAACTCAAACAAGAAGTTAACAACTAAAAGCATATTTTCCACTTTGTAATAAAAATGAAGATACAAAAGAACATTAAGAAAAACATCTTGCAAAAACTTACTGACTGTGTGAAAACTTTATGTTAAAATTGTTATTTTCATTTAAAATATATACTTAGCAAGTAGGTAACACAGTGGCTTAAAGTTAATATTATAAGGCATAATATTTTTAAATTAGATTCATTTATTTAAATATTAATAGAAGTAACAGTCCGCCAATAATACGAGTCTATCGATCTAAATATCAGAACCCTTCCAGTAATCGTTGAGAATACACATAAATAAATAAATAATCCTGGACAAATTATAAAGCGCCATCTAATCACAAAGTAAGCAGTACCAATAAATTAAATACATTATTGTAAATATATACACATTATTTACCTACATAGAAAAAACAAACACTGACTGATACAAATAGATTACTGTCGTTTGTACTACGCGAGGATTGAACTTATGACCATTGAAAAGTAAAAACAGTGTAGTTATACATTACGAATGATTACAGATGAGAATATGAAAAAATACTGTAATATTGTTATTTATAAACTGTTCGATACCAGTGGTATGCCCTGGCTTTCTTAGCCCGGGTTGTCGTCCTTATTCTAATTTCTTATTAGTAGTCTTGTATAATATCATTATATACTACGTATGTCACTACATATATCTGGCCACTGGTGGGTGTATAAATTTTCTTATAATATGTAATACCTTTCATTGTGTTGCTGTTGCTTTCCAAATTACGTAAAGACACCATAGTATACTATGGTGTCTTTACGTCATATGGCTGACCCATTTGTTACGTCAGCAGACTTACTTTGAGAATCATATCTTTACTTAGTTTCTGTCGAATCTCTGTAATCCTGATCATATTACTTAAAGCAATTTGGAGCATTCCGAGGTTGATTGCTTTCTATGTGACTTATAATATAAGAATTAGATCTGCAGTTAGAATCTCCGCACCATCGGTCACACAAAAAACAGGGACTAGTTATAGTCTTGTCTTTAATAATTGAGGTATATGTGTGATGAGAATGTGATGAAATTTCAGATATGATATAGCCAACCCAATCCATTCTCTTTATCTATCGATCTTTTATTAAGGCATTAATGGATAGCGACACAAAATAAAGATAAAAATTTGAGCATCAATACTATGTAGTAGCATATATATTATAAAAAACAAAGTGTGTCTGACTATATTATGTAAAAAACAGATAATGTTGCGGAGATCAGTTAATTAGTCCTAAAACAGTTAGAAGAAAACTTCATTGTAAATAGTTGAAGAATAATTATTACGAGGCACGATTTTTAAATACGTAGCTTGTAACAGAAGAAGAGAATGTTTTGGTTACGCTTATATATGTCAAATCAACAAGAATTATAACAACATTATAATGGCACTAAAACACTAGTAATTGACAAACTGCGATTAATAAAATTATTTTAAAAAATGCCTAAAAAATTTATTTTAAAAAATTGGCGAAAATGTAACGTAGGTTAAAGTCCAGACGAAGTACTTACATGTAACGCAACATCGTTATATTTCGTTGTTTGTGCCTTTTTTCTTTATTTATTATTTATAAGGGTTTTTTCATTATTTATTATTTACTGGATGTTTACTTAATCTATGAGTTTTACTGTAACGGCCCTCGGATAAAGGAATTGGCCGGTTACCCGGCAGCTGTCTTCGAATTCGAGACCTGCTGAGTACTGGCTCAATAATTTATAAGCAGATTCGCCTCTAAATAGGGCTGTCACTTTCTAATACAAAAACAGATTATTTACGTAAGAAAATTGTAACAGGGTCGAAACTGTTGATGAAAATAATGTATTGTAAAAATATATAAAAGTTGCTACATAACAACGCCAATTATTGAGGATCTCACTACTTACGGTATAGAGATAAGAATCAACTTGCATACTAATTCTGTAAGTTCGCAACTGTGTCTGCCTGTTTGTTACAATTTTACTTCTAAATGGCGGAGCGAATCTTAATAAAATTCAACATGACGATAGATCGTATCACGAGGTAGTACATAGACTATCTATTAATCTGGAATGGGTGAAATATGGGATGAAAGTTAATACAGACGAAGTCACGGATAACAGCCAGTATTCTTATAAACAAAAC